TAAAGTATTTATTGTGAGAAGTGCAGTATTGATATTCAACCATAAAGACAGAAAATTTTGAATGTTATATTAACCACTTTCTATTTCTTCTTTGCAAGAGAACATCCTTCTAACTCTGCCAGTAAAGTATTTATTGTGAGAAGTGCAGTATTGATATTCAACCATAAAGACAGAAAATTTTGAATGTTATATTAACCACTTTAATAAAAATAATCTTTAAAATACATACCATAGAACCTTTTGCATAGGTTGTTTGAAGCATTAAAGTGAAATTACAGGAGGTCTTTGGTATGTTTTGAATTGCACCTGTGCGTTTCAATTGATGTTTTATATAACCTAATCAAAGGCCCTTTGATTAATGCATCTAATAGAATACATTGGTATTTAAAATGTTATTGGCTCTACTCCAGAGATATTCATGCACTCAGAAGTGCTGCTGCTATTTGTGCACATGAACATTGCACCAGGCAGGAGCATAGATTGTAGATTAGGAATCCATACATCCTAGGACAGAAAGGAGAATCCACAGATTTCTGAGCTCTGAGGTAGGTAGCACCCACCTCTATGTGGGACGCTTGGTTCCCCAGGCACAGTAAGTGCTGTACTAGGTTCTTGGTGTAGAAGACAATTTCAATGGATCTCCTTCTCTTTCTATCTTGCATGCATGAAATTATCTTTCTGTGCAAGGCAGATCACTAGAGCAGACAATTGGCTGAAGGAGCTCATGTTTTTAGAATAACCGTTTGGCAAGATCATAGGAATAATGCTTCAAGGTAACCCCTTACTTCATCATTGACATACAAACACAATATATACAAAAAGTCAAAAGTTTCATTAAATATAGCATAAAGATTTTCTCTCCGTGCCTCCCCCCCCGCATCAACATCTCATTTTAAAGAATGAATTTTGGAATTTTTTTTCTTTTCTTCTGATACTTAGGAATATGCAGAGTGGGCAATATAGAAAATATTCAGCCAGTATCCTTTATCTGTTCAGCTTTGTGTCAGCTTGCTATACAGCTCTTTGGATTCACAACTTTTACAGAACTTTAGAGACCCTCCAAGCCTGTAAAAATGCCTCCCTATACCCTCCCTCCTCCCAAAAATACTTGGTTACCCAACCTAGAGCCCTACATGCTACTCTAATTCACAGAAGTCCTACGAAGGCTTTCCCGTTGACATTCATGTGAATAAATAAAAATGCTTGCATGTGTTCCTCTGTCATTAGGGAATCTCACTTGGAGCACATTTGTATGGCTGAGCACCACACTGCTAGCACTGGAACTGGGACTTTCATGATCTGGGGCTGGAACTTATAATCAGTGACCCAAGGATATGCGTACACATGTTCCAAAACATTTTTAAGCATAAAAAGGAAGGCCAAAAAAAAGCAGGGAGGGGCATGGCTGGCAGGCTATTAATACTAAGCCTCTCAAATGGCTATGCCCGCATAAACATTTACCTGGGCTTCTGTTTTTGCTTGTTTCATGGTACAAACATTTCTGACCTGCTGCTCTCTAAGTACCCACTCAAAGCTCACCCTTCAGTACTCCCTGAGGAGGTCACATATAGCCGCCCATGGATTCTACCAGGTTTTGAGATCGTATCGTGTTGGAAGTCCATGGATTTGGGAAACTGTCAGTACTTGGAATATGAATTATACTAAGGGGTTATACAGTACAAGAAGCTGACAGATTCTACAGAGAGCTAGCTGTTTGCATGGCTGGAAATGCTGACCAGCAGAATTCAGATGAGGAAAATCTTCAGAAGTAATCATTTGCATTTCTGGAGCCATTCTTATTTCTAAGAGCTGTATAGCCTAACATTAATACATAGGCCAGATCTATGGGTAGTATGACTTCTAGAAATTTGAGCAATACAGTAGATGAACATTTGATTGATACACTGCATGATTACCTCCCTTAGTTTGTACATTTGTGGAAACCAAGCAATGAAAGTACCATTACCTTAAATTAACAAGTTAAATGCCACTTGTCATTTTTTAGTTACAATATAGGCTAGTATCTTCCTGTCCCCAAAGAAAACTTTTTTCCCCATAAAAAGTGCAACCCAGCTGAAGGGGGAAAATGTCAGCCATTTAAAAAGCAATAGCTTTGGAATGAATGCTTAAGTGTCTCTATATTATATCAATAAGGAGAGTTTAATAGCATTTAAGACTAAAATAGCACTGGATCCAAAGGGTTCACTCTTGGTCAAGACGTATGTTGATTCCTGAAAAGCACCGTCCCATGCTGTGACATACTGGTGCAATGAAAACATCTGTCATACTCTTCCATACAGCTTGCACAGATGGCAAGATCAAAAGGCAAGACCTTATGAATGGCACCACAATCCTAGAAAATAAATGAGAGAGGTCAGCAATCATCTCTTAAACTTCATCACCTTTTTTGGGGACTAGGTTTGACACATCCTGAATAAGACATAATTTTTAATATGTCAGCAGCAAGATAGAATTGGTCTTAGTGTAGGTGTACAAATGCCTACAAAATCTTCTGATTAGTTTAGAAGCACCTGTGTTGCAATTTTTGTGCAATGCATATTTACTCAAACATTATCATATTTCAATCCCATTAAGTGGGATCTAATTATAAGGTACTGACAAGTATCTTCCTGATGTTCATAATCAAAATAAGTCTGATTCGCATACACTCCTTGGTGTAATAAAGATTAATATATTTTTATAAGCATGAGAAGTTATAGATAGGACAGTTAAGATACATTGGCCAGATTCACTCATAATGCTTAGCAATCATGTAGTTGGTTTCATTTTTTAACTTTATGTGTTATGTAAACCTAGGCACCATGACTGTGAAACATGGTTTGCCACATAGTACGATATGCAAATCCTGTAACTGTGCTGTAGTTGATTCAATAAGTCATGGATTGAAATCATAACTGTATGATGGATAAACCCAGATATTGTTGGATTTAGTCTGCAATCATATTGACACATAATTTGAATGAACACCGTAGAACATTTTGGGTCTCATCTTTAGTAAATATGTGCAGGACTATGTAACTTGTTTTGCTTTTGACTACTATTTTTTATTTTGTAATTTGTACTTTGTTGTATGATAATGAAACAATACTTTCTAATCATGTTAGAAAGAAGAAAAAAAAGATTCCCCTGTGTTCAGTGATGTTTATTAGGGCTACCAGATTGGCCACAAAAAACTGATGATCACTGGATGGTAGAAAAGGAAGTTTTCTGTATTTCTTTTCTCCCAGCTCATGGTTGTCTGGATTTTTGCAGCTCTAATCTGATAGGTCTATATTTATTCCCAATTCCAGTTAGATCTCAATTAATAGGATTACAATCTTATCTATTTGTAGAACTTCAGCTAATAAAGAAATTACCCCCCCTTTTTTTCTACCTACAGAACTTATGCCAAATGTCCAAGAGAAATTTTTTATTGTTCCCAGTTTGCCAGCCAGTTATTCTCACATCATAGCAGACACTAGCTATCATCTTGCTATGATCCACACATTCACACAACTTTCTTGCTTAAATCTAAAAATGAAGCTACAGCAGATTAGAAAATGTAAAAAAACATAGGGGTTGTTTCAACTGTATGATAGTACAAAATATATATTTCAGTAAAATTGACTACTAAAAACTTGGCTGTGCTCAAATGCAAGGCATATTATATTTAACAGAAACAGCACTGACACTATCAGGGTCTATCACTGTCCTCCTTTCCTCCCTCTTTCATTTGCTTGCTGAAGTAGCAAAGAATGTAGATCCTTACTAGAGAATATATATCACTGCATTGCAGTGTGGTACGTGCTATATACTTGGTAAATTTAAATCTTTAAATTTCTATTTAAAACTTCTTTTGCTAAGGATTGAAGGAAACTCACCCGGTGCTATAACACTTCTTGATACAAAGGTTCCTAATAGCTGAAAAGCAGTTAACAAGCAATTTCAGAAAGTGATTAGAAAAGGAAGTATGCAAATTCAGTGTGCTTCTGAATGCGCCAACCATGGCTGGGCAAAAAGATGGCTATTCCATCATCTCCCAGAGCTCTAAACCCAGCAGAGACAGCTGTCATGCAAGGAGCAACTGTATGGAGCACTTGTGGGTGATCTCAAGTCCTCTCCTTGTCCAGAGAGGAATCATGAAGAGCCAGTCTACTCATTGGCTCTTCATTCCACCACAGTCGTTGGCTCCGCTTTTAGCGGAGCTGTTTTCAGTTCGCCATTTCTTCCCCCAATTTTTTCTTTTGGAATAAATAGCAAAAGGGTGATTAGAATTTTGATTTTGGAAAGTTACAAATGGACTAAGGGTCCAGATAGATTTGAAATAAGACTTTGGAATTAATTATAAGAATCCTTCCCATGGGAAAATGCTTTTCTTTTGAAAATAAAAAAACATGATAGGATGAGACTTTGAAGGTTAGACACTAGAGGGAACCAGAAGGAACTAAAGATTACAAATAAAGGAGAAAAACACTTAAATTTGACTAATACAGAATGAAACAAAATATTATAACACTGGACAGATTGAAGGATATTTTTGAACAATGGACCCAGATGTTAATTTTAAGAGTGTCTGCCTCTATAGACAGACTGTGTTTCAAAGATGTTATGAAAGAG